TTTTCTCTACTGCTTATGCGTTTTTGTCGCTGCTCACCGTTAGTAGTATTGTTAATAATATCTAAAATTTTCTGTAACTTAAATTTGGAGACCCATTAATCTAATTATTTATACAATACATACAAATTAATTATTAAATAATACTTCAACTATCAATGCTCGTTAATATTTTGCTGATGTGAAGGCAACGTCCTTTTACATACTCGGCTGAACAAATGTGTTTCATCACATGGTTCATAAGTTACTCCTCGGCCTCGTAACGTTTGAACTAATTGACGGGCTTTGACGTGATAAGCAACTATCGATTTTTTTATGTCAGAGCTGCAAAAAGTAACTTACAAATCAATATGGTAGAGTGAATCAAGATGAATTCTTAGGTATATAGACTTCATAATTCTGCATTATTTTGTTTGTATTCCAGAGATTTACATTATATAACAATACATACAATTATTATTAATAACTATTCACAATTTCTCATACTTTAACACACATTGGTTGGAGGTTCACTTGCCGAAGTAAATCGAATCTATTACAAAGGACCAAATATTTCTGGTTTAAATTTGCCAAAACCGCTCATTACCATCACTATTCATAAATCAACTTAGTACAGCAAAAGACCGAGGGCGGGATTTCGGAAACCGCGAACAGCTCCTACTTTTCCCCCTAGACTACGTTACACACAGGTTTTTTTAATGGTTTGACGTTAAATTTAAAAAAATTAATAAAGCTAGTAACGATGCTACACATTGAAATAACATTTTTATTTCATGTTCTCTAAGGAAAAGAACGTATGCTGAAACGAAGCTCATACAAACTGTTTCAGAATTCATCTGAGCACGTATGCTGTAACGAAATTCATAGAAGCTTGAGCTCCTAATATTCCGCACTGTCGCTAAAATCCGTAATCATCCCAGCTGCAAATATAATATATTTTTGTACCAATGTAATTTCTCATGTCAAGATTTCAGATCTCTAAGCCTTCCCAATTCATTAAAGTAGCTGAATGCAATTCTGTGTTTTGGCACAATTAACCTGCTCATACCAAAATTTAACTAGACAGGGAACAGAAGTAAAGTTCAATTAGCTAATCGGCCTTTCGAGCTTGTTACCCGTGTATTTGATACACGGGTATCTACGTACATCTAAATTAAGATAATTTGAACTTTTAAATTTTCTTTGAGGTTTGAAATAATGTATGTACCGTTTGTATAAAAGAACTAAGAGAGAAGTTCTTATTTCGTTGCGAAAATTGTGTCAGTAATACGGGAAGGGCGGATCAAACTTTCGGATCTGGGAGGCCCACGCCTTCCTATTGACCCACAGGCGTTTTAACAAGTGTTCCTTTTTAATATTTTATTACACGAATGACAATATATTCTAAAAAAATATGATATTCTAAAAAATAGTTAACAAGTTAGATAACACAAGAGGTCTTACAATAACAACAAATTTAGCATTAAAAAAAGAAAGAAAAAAGACACTCGCTTTTCAACATGTAACATTTCCTCATTTACGCCGGTATATCTATAGCAAATGAGTGTAACTGTAAAAATGAGTGCGTGAATAATTATGAACGGTCTTTCTGTTCTCTGAGTCGATTCTTTACGTGATGGCAGTTTAAACAATCTAACGCGGGATCAAGAGGCGAACAAGAGAAGCAAATTCATTTGCCACAAGGCTATTCGAGGCTACATCCGTCTGTCATGCAATGAATCACTTCAATATTTAAGTTAATTTTGTTTCTGCTGAGTCTTTGTTTACTCTTGGGTTACAACGCTCCTCGGTCTCTGGACAGGAAGGGCTCTTAACTGTAGTCTGAAAGGCGGACGTAAGTCTGATTTTTGTCTCTCATGGGTCAAATGTTAACAGATATTTCAGAAGTAATTCAAGTTTTAAGCGCTTGTTTGAATTCTTCGTTATGATCATATTTTATAATCGATAATGGTTCTTCTCAATCTTCGCAGTGCAACAGATTTAACGAACCATCAATCAAATTTCGATATCTACATATCTCCACAGGTGTATAAATAAAAAGTATAGATTCCAGGAAATTACAGTGATGTTATGTTTCCCTTTATTATATTGCTCTCAACAGAAACGAAGTTTACAATAAAGTACAGTTTCATATTGCCGTCATTCACCAAATCCAGGGAAAATGTGGTTGTTTTAATACGACAAGCAAACCTTAGATCAACACCTGCCATATCCTCCCTCATGCTTTGTTGACACGACCGAACAAAGCAAAAGGAAACAGACTACAAACCAAAGTAGATACGTACTAACACTCGCACTCAACACTGTAGTGTTAATTCACTCGCGCGAGCAACAGGTGCACACACAGCCTCAATAGACGCCGAAGCCTTACTCAGCCTTGCGAGCAGCAGGAATAAGTAATCGCAGGGAGACAGCGCCCACACATCACCTGCGCGGGGCATCCGCCCGGTCTGGCTGGCGGAAGTTGGCTCGCTCACTCACCTCGCTCGCTCACTCCGCTGCCGGCAACCGCTCCGACCCGGCGACAGCGCACTCCGCTCCGCCGCAGATGCATCAGCGCACGCCGGCCCTCACTCTCTCTCTCTCGCGCGCGCGCGCGCTCGTCTGTTCGACTCGCCGCGCTGCGCCGCGGGCCGCGCGGAAGGTCCTTGCGAAGCATGCGAGGGCTCTCGTGAGCCGGCGGAAGTAGCCGACGGCAGCCGAACGCCTTCTTTTTTTAACGTGGACGACGACATTAGGCGATGGGAAAGCGTTCACAAGGTTCAGGATAAACGCATAAGCTGACAAAAACCAGTGCTTCGAGCTCCGGTAGTAAATGTACACAACACGAGGACAAGTGGGGAAGGAATTAGTTTATTATTACAGCGAAGGTTACACGGAAAGATTAATTACTTATTTATATCTATATTTTATATTTTACTCTTCTGCATTTGTTGCAATTTCATTGGTTTTTTAGCTTTGTATTATTTTATGTACAATTAATTACATATTTGCAATATTCGTTTGAATAACTTCGACCCAAGTTAAAGAAATACTGAAAATTATCAAACAATTTTGCAACCACGGGCACGGGGGACATTGCATCCCTGGTCTCCTGATTCCACCAACTTTCGATAATTTCTGTTTTCCTATCTTCTGCACCCTAACATTTGTTCAAGAGCCACCAATTTTTACAATGGAAATTGTAACAAATGCATTAACATAATGCAAAATCTACTTATACATTTTTAGTAAGGGGATAAAATTGTGAGATTTTGAGAGACTTACAATGCTGTGAAATGTCTCGTTCGATTCATGTTTTAACTCAAGATCTTGGGGTGAAACATGAAATTCGAAGTTATGTTCAATTCAAACCTAACGTAACTTTAATAAGATATGAAACAATTAACTCCTTTAGAGCTATCAGATGTAATAATTCCGCTTCATGACAATTCTACGAGGGTAGCTGTAGCTGCATTCCGCCACTAACGCGAGGAAGCGCGTTGCGAGACCATTTTGCTCTGTTGCGTAAGCGCCAATTTTAACCACACTTCAAATAAAGCTATCGTTGAACTGTTAACTTGCTTTGTGTTTCTGTGCTTTTGAAATATTTTGCAAAGTTTTATTCACACAAGTTTCTTGCACGTGTAGTATACTTGAAGTACTCGTAGTTTTCAGGTGCAAACAACGTAAAGAAGGTTTCCTTGTTATTGCACATGGTACCGCTTGTACGTTTGTTGTTTATTAGCAAATACCACTATCCAAACTTCTCCTATCCAATAAGGGTTAAAAATGAAATGTTTTTTTTTTTTAAATCTCGTAGCATTTTATTGCTAAAAATAATATAATAAGAGAGTAGAGTGAGGCCGAAAGCATGGCTATGAGTGAAAACATTGCGAGACTGCGAAGTCCCAGATTGCTTGTCAAGGGTTTCCCTGACCTGCTCGCGACGATCTTGGCATTACAATCTTTTCCATCCCGCATGGCCAACGCAACAAAATAGAATGGCCTCTAAGCGCGTTTCCTCACAGTATTGGCGGAATATTAAGAGTCAATGTGCGTCATAATACCTTTACATTTCTCGAAAGTATTGCTATGTAACAAAGGGTAGGATACAAATGTATGTACTTGTCTCTTCACGCTCGTTATCTGTATGGTTCTTTAAAAAATTGACTTTTTTCGATTAGTAAATATTATATTTATTCTTAAACGCTTACCCTTCACACGTGTTCTTATTTTTGAAAACCGTATTTCACTATCTGCAACAGTTCAGGAGATTTGAGAGGAACAACTTTAATGACCCGCTTTCTTGCATTAAGCTGTCGTACTGATACCTGATTAATATGTTTTTGGACGACGTCAGTTGTAGTAACATATCCAGTGGCGTAGGGGGATTTAGGAAATAGAAAAAGAAATTAATAGTTAATGAAGGAAAAACAGTTTCAAAGTATTTTTGCCTTTCAAATCAGCAATCGCATGCTCCATTGAAAATGAATAATATGCAATTAACTGATGTCCTAGCAAAATTGCTAGGTCTGTCAATACAGTCAAACCTCAAATGGAATGCACATATTACAAAATTAAACACTAAATGAAGTTCATTACGTTACGCATTCAGAATTCTATCAAATTCTATCAGCCTTCATGCAGCTCGTTGCGTGTATTTTGCAAATCTACATTCCCGCCTTAGATATGATTTAAAATTCTGGGAAAACTCATCATGTAGTTCTCAAACCTTTAGTCTGCAAAAGAAAATTATTCGAATTAAGAAAAAATGCCATCCGCGTTACCCTTGCAAGCCCCTCTTCATTGATCTTGGAATCTTACCACTACCTTGCCTATATATTTACGAATCTGTAATATTTGTCAAAAGTAACTTACTTAACGGTGGGGACATATTTTCATGCAATACTGATATTTATAATTACAACACACGTCGTAAAATTTACGTTTATCAAGTGTCAGTATCAACAGCTCACTATCAGAAATCCACATACAATACATGTACGTTACTTTACAACGCACTGCCATATGACATTAAACAATTGAGTCGGTTCACAAATTTAAGTTAAAAGTAAAATCTTTTCTGCTGCATCGCTGTTTCTATACAGTTAGAGACAATACTGATTATCAAAAAGAAAAATAATGTTTATTTTAACAAAACAGTGATATATAACGAATTAGTTATCATTTGTATTGTATAATTTTTAAAGACTTAATATGTTTGTAACAAATAATGTACTTCAGCTTCCGGTCAATGACCCCCATCTCGATCAGGTTTTTGTCCGGTTTCCCTGATCCATTAAGCAAATGCTGAGATGGCCGCTTGTTTTGCTTCTGGACGAAAATGAAGCTTCACTACGCGCACGTTTTGTTGAACTCTCCTTTTGCTTGTAACGGTAAGAGTAGAGATAAGGGCGAGTTGCTATTTTGTTTGCAATGCAGAAAAATCATACTTGCAGTTCGTGTCCGGATGCAAATAAGTTTTCCATAACTCAGAAACGAAAATGACTATTTTTTCAAATATTGCTAATCTTGCAATTTTTAAAATTTATTTTAAAATTTATTTTTAATGTGTTTATATGTTTATGTTTAACTTTTACTTATCTTTCAACTATTTATAGTTAAAATGACGGAAAGGGATTCTGGAACTCAAGAAAACGTGCAAAGATAATTCCCCCCCCCTACGTCACATACAGTGTTTACTGGTTTTTTGAGTGAATAAATCTAAACCTAAATCCCGAGAGTCGTAGTTAGGGACGATGGAATGGAACACTTCCTCCCTCCAAATAATTTTAATACCAAGTTTTGTGGATCTCGTTTAGAAATACGATCTCCATTAAAGTTTAAGAAATCAGCATTGATCCATAAAAAGGCCTACAGAAGAAGTAATCTCCCTCAATTTCTAGAAACCACAGCTAGAACGCTATTGTATGCGATAAGCTATGCGATAAGCACACAAAAATGTCGTCAAAGAAGAAGTAATCTGTCAAGACCAACCTATTATTTCCGTTCTACAGTGCAAACGCGGCCAACTGAATATTTAACTTACAACAACCGGTTAACAGAAGTATTTTATGATATATATTATTACTGAATTATCTATTGTACTTACTATTTTAATGAGGCAAGCATCTGAAGTTCTGGTTTCGATTGTTTCTTTGCTGGAAGTTCATGTGCATCCTAAATGAAACAGTTATTCTTAATTCCTCAGTACCCATTCACATGCCAAGGTGACAAAGAACATTTTTACTTATTTTTATAAAGTTTAAAATACAAAAAAAAACTGACCATAACTCCACTGACGAAACCACGGGCTGGCCAAAGAATTTTGGGGAAGAGGAAATTACAGTTCGCTCCCTCTCCTCGTAAATATTTTTGAAATTATTTTTTAATTGTTTTCTCGAAATAAAAAGAAATGTACGAGTAGTCATTACGGGAAGATTGCTTTGGATATGATGAGATCTAGGATGGTAATTATTTTGAATAAATTTAGAAAAATTCACACGGAAAATGATAGAGGTGCATGACGCAGGTCCCCCAGTTCATTCTTGTGGACAAACCTTCGCGGTAGACACGATGCTTAACGTTCTTTTATGATTTCTTAGCAAATACGGAACAAAACCTTGGTTGTAACCCTCTTTCGTTCACCTTTTCCCTTCCTCTGAGGTGTGGTCTACTTTTCTTCCTTTAACTTTTTCGCAATTCTATGGACATACGCCTCATTAACTCTGACAATAGACTGATTTCAGTCGTGGTATTACTGGACAGTAGGAACACTTCAACTCTGTCACGCCTTCGTGGAGACACGGCTATTGTCCTGCCCTTGTTCGCGCTTTCACGGACTCTCGTACCATGAGCAACTCCGATACTTGCTACTCAGCCCAAACATCCAGGCTTTCACACTTGGGGGAGCGTTTGGGTTGGGTCCCAGATCTGGATTGACGAATTGCATTGCAAACGTTGCTGAGAAAAAATTACGACACCCAAGGGCGCCTTCAAGAAAACCTAAAAATATTGTTAAAATGTCATGGTTGTCATTGCAGTGGATGTATACTCGTATGCTTTATAAAACACATACATTCACTTAAATGAACATTTAATTCGAGAGCAGTATTTCCAAATGCTCACCCAACACATTATAGAATTATAACAAACTTTTCTCCGTCCAACTAGTACGTGTTCCCCTTAAAGTTTTGTTCCCGTCTGAAGCATCTAAGAAATAATACAAAAAGCTTGTAGT